GTGCACTCAATCCCACTGTCCATGTCAGCAATGAAGATGTTGAACAAGACCGGTCCCAACACCGATCCCTGAGGGACACCACTCGTTACTGGTCTCCAGCTGGACATTGAGCCATTGACCACAACTCTTTGTGTGCGGCCATCCAGCCAGTTCTTTATCCACCGAGTGGTCCATCCATCAAATTGATGTCTCTCCAATTTAGAGACAAGGATGTCGTGTGGGACAGTGTCGAACACTTTACACAAGTCCAGGTAGATGACATCAACTGCTCTACCCCTGTCCATCAGTTCTGTAGCCCCGTCATAGAAGGCCACCAAATTGGTCAGGCAGGATTTCCCCTTAGTGGAGCCATGCTGGCTGTCACCAAGCACCTTGTTGCTTTTCATGTGCCTTAGCATACCTTCCAGGAGAATCTGCTCCAAGATTTTGCCAGGCACAGAGGTGAGACTGACTGGTCTGTAATTCCCTGGGTCATCCATTTTCCCCTTCTTGAAAATGGGGGCTATATTTTCCTTTTTCCAGTCATCAGGAACTTTACCTGACTGCCATGAACTTTCAAATATGATGGCCAGTGGCTTAGCAACTTCATTTGCCAGCTCCTTCAGGACTCGCAGATGGATTTTATCAGGACCCATGGACTTGTGCACATTCAGGTTCTTAAGATGGTCTCAAACCAGATCCTCTCCCGAGGTCTTCATTCTCACAGTCCCTGCATCTGCCTTCCCACTTGGGCGGTGTGGTCAGAGCATTTGCCAGTGAAGTCTGAGGCAAAGAAGTCATTAAGAACCTCAGCCTTCTCCAAATCCAGGGTAGCCAGTTCTCTTGATAGCTTTCGGAGGGGTCCTGTGTTGTCCCCAGCCTTCTACCTGTTTTTTATCCTACTAGCCTTCTACCTGGTATTTTGTGCCCAGAGATCTGGCACTCCAGCCTTCCTCTCTATCTATCCCACTAACATAGTGTGCTGTTGAAAACAAGTTCTTTCTTAATCCAAATGAATGGTTGGTTGTCTCACAACAAAGTTCCTCACCCTAGAAAGGTAATACACATAATTAGGTTATTGCTTTGGTTAGTTTTCAATCACAAAAGCAATTATTACATCTTTGTGAAAAAACTGTGTTCAACAACCCCCATGCAGAATATGGATGCTAGGAGCACCATCACATAACTGGGTCTAGATAGCCCAGCTTGAGCAGGTGGATTGGACCAGGTAACTTTCCAACCCCAACCATTGTGCATGTCAGTGGTTTTGTTGGGTGAAGTTGTAGTTATAAACACAGTCTAGCTTTGACAACACCTGATTTTTAGCAACTGCTCTGAAAAAGACTTATAGTCTTGACTTCAGTCAATCCTATGGTTTTCTCTATTCATCAACCATTAATTAATTATTCATTAACCATTTATTACTCATCAGCTTGCCATTATGGGAATTACCATTTGAAACATGCAGTGGAAAAACACATTTTACATGTCCAATACTGTTACACATGCTGGGTGTATTCAGATATCCACATTTGAGACTGTAAGACAAAATCAAGTTTTGAATCAAGCTTTGATATTTTAGTGCTGGAAGAAACCGGATTCCTACTGTCTTGTGCATCAGCAACAAAACTCTCTTGCTCTGAATGTGCAAATCCAAACCTTACATCCCAGTGCTGAGTTTTAGAGCAAGGAGAGGATTTTGTGGCAAATCCGAGGGCCTCCCTGAGCCATTGCACATCCTCTTTCCTCTCAGTACTGCTAGAATTTGTCACTAACCCCATCCATCTCCTGTCTACTGGATGATGAATAGATCCATCCAGTGCATACTGCTTAAATTCATCCAGTCATCTAGTTAGAGATGAAATGACGCAATACACACACAAAGTGCTCTCTGCAATTTTAATCTACTTAACCCAATTACATAGTAAGAGATAATGCTGTACATACAACTGCTGAGTCTGCAATGGTGGAATGAGACAAGTAGCAAATCAAAAAGCAGCACTTTCTTTTTCCCTGATAGCTTTGATCAGCTGTCGTGTCTTCAAGCGGGAGACAATGCTGGTGCTATTATTCCTTCTTTGCTTTTCCTTTTTCTTGTGGGGGTCGTGACTGCCTTTTATTCCTTATCTTCTTTGCATTTTCACTATACAGGGGATATTTTAGCTGTTTTGGCTGTATATTGTTTGTCCTCTTTCTTATGTCTTCTCAAAGTTGCATCACCTTAGTGATCAGTAACTTTGTGACCTGTTTTTATGCTCTTGTGGACCACTGGCATTATCTTGTGCTTGTACACTCTTTCTCTGTGATCAATCTCTCTTTGTATTCTCCATGGCCAATACACACATTGAGGTACTCTGTTGCAGACATTTTCAGACTGGATCCCAAGATTACGATACTGTGTGAAACAAAGATTTCTATTTTGGTACCTGCTATTCATTTTCCGATGAGATGTAATTATAGCTCAATACAGCTCTTTTTCTCCCCCCAAAACACAGCAACATCTATCCACTAGAAACCACATGACAGAGAACAGAGTTGGAATGGGGAAAGATGCAATTGTATGATTTGACAGCAGAGGTTAAATTTCATAGCTTTGTACTTATAAAAAATAATAATAATCTTATATGAGCAAGCTGTATGGATGCCTGTTTTCCACAACCTTCCGGAACTCTTGACAGGTTCATCCAAAGTGGCTGAAGGTCTGAAAGGTTGGTTGTTCCAACAAGATTCTCAGAAATAAGCAAAGAAGGAAAAGGAAGTGTTCAATGTGTTCACCTCTTAGAAGAATCAGAAAATCTCCACAGCAAACAGTAAAACTACAGGAAACAAGTTTCATCTGCTACCAAAATCCACTGATTTTTATCTTTAAAAAGGTTGTGGAGCTTTTATTTTTCACGCATCCCAAGGTTAGCAAAATTCATACTTCCATGCAAAAATAAAAGGAAGCAGAATTGAAAGGAATCAAAACATAAATTATCCAACTGTGTGCTAAAAATGACACTACCTGTTGCCTGTTTTCCTACTAGAGCTACACAGTAACACTAAATTGCACCAACTCACTATTGAGGCCTCCCTGCAATCTCATAGGCAATGCCTGGGCACGAACACGTCGTTCAGTATCAGTTGTAGACATTTTAATGTTAAATCCAGAAAATGATCTACATTCATCCCTATGGGCATATAACTGTTCAGTGACATCCAGAAGTAAACCATCTTTTCCATAGTTAGCTGGCACGATTAGGCATTTATAGCAAATAGGGGTATATTGAAAAAGAAGCGCCAATTTTTATACTCCATTTACCAGAGTAGAGCTGATTAAATAGATTTCAGGGCTGAGAGGCTTTATTGCCTGATATGAAGTTGAATAATTTATTCTGGAATTGGAAAAATCAAGTCAGTACACAAGAAAAATCTAAGATGATGCCCAAATGCAACTTTGGTTTATGTCTTTCTGATACATAAACTTTCTTTTCAGCACTCAGTATATGCAGTGTTGGTATGAAATATCATTTTTTTTTATCCTATATCCATTTCTAACTGCAACTGAAGAAAATGCATCAGTTCAACCCATCAGCCTAAGTTGATGGGTATGTTCTGATTTTCTTCAGTGCACTTCAGGATAGACTGTTTATCTTTATCTCTCATTAAACATCTGTGGAGAATCATAAAGCCCTTTAAAGCAGCTAAAAATCCCAGAATTCAATAACACTGTTTTGTTTCTAACTGCTGAGGTTTTTGCACTATATTTTTCACAATTAGGGATACAGCACTTTCAATGAATGTGTCATGAACTTGACTATGTGTTGAGGGATATAATGGGCACTATGAATCTACAGTACCACTTAACGTATTTTAAGTGCAGTGTTAGTGATTCAGCTACAAATGCAGCTTATTAATTCTCTGTCTTAAGGATGAAAACAAGATCTAACCAACAAATATTCTTTGAGGCTTCTTGACTTGAATTTGCTTGCTCTACCAATTTGCCTAGAAGCAAAAGCTGGTTTGAATCTGACGTGTTTTCTTTCTGCAGGACCAAATCTCTTTACAGAGAAACCATTTCAAATTCAGTAGCAAGTTAATGCAGGTGATTTAACTTTCTTTTTGCTTGAAGTTTCTCTTTGATTTTCTTTTTCTGTATCCGTGGCCTTAAAATTGGTAAAAAATCAAAACATATTTCTTTACTGTAGAATTAATTGACCAAAAGAAAGGCCGAAAGACATTCAAGCACATGTATATCATTACACCGCTTTGTAGACAACAGAGTTAACGAGGTTTGATTTCCTATGGTTTTATATTATAGAATCATTTAGGTTGGAAAAGACCTTTACTATCATTGTGTCTAACAATTAACCCGGCACTGCTGACTCCACCACTAAACCATGTCCCTAAGCACCACATCTACACATCTTTTATACCTCCAGGGATGGTGACTCAACCACTTCCCTGGGCAGCCTGTTCCAGTGCCTGACAATCCTTTCAGGGAAGAAACTGTTGCTAATATCCAGTCTAAACTTCCCTTGGCACAACCTGGTGCCATTTCCTCTCGTCATGTTACTTGGGAGAAGAGACTGAGAGCCACCTCACTCCATTCTCCTTTCAAGTAGCTATAGAGAGCAATGAGGTCCCCCTGAGCCTTCTTGTCTCCAGACTAAACAATCTCAGTTCCCTCAGCAGTCTCTCATCACACTTGTGCTCCAGACCCTTCACCAGCTTCACTGCCTCTCTCTGGATCTGCTCCAGCACCTCAATGTCTATTTCATAGTGAGGAGTTAGTGAGGAGTACTTTTTAGTGCTCAGTGACAATTTTCACTAAATTTAGAGGAGCTGAGTATTTCTTTTACCTTTCTTTTCTGTCAAATAGGGTGAAAATAGCAGAACTGGCATTAAAAAGCAGAGCTGAGATGAGAATAGCATGAGCCATTTTTTCTCAGGAAACCAGGCCAAAAAAAAAAAATACAAAACCAAAAGAAAACCAAAGAAATTTGGTCTTGCAAATTGCAGTTTTTAATGTAACTCAGTATATATTTGTTCTTTGATGCTGCCTGTTTCACTCATAGAGCAATCCAGCAGCTGAGGGAAAAAAATATAATGGAGTCTTTGGTTGCTAAAAAAGGTCTGGAAGGCAGGAAAGGGGAAGCTCATCCCATTACAGATCCTCAACCTTATTACATCCAACAGCTAAAAATTATCCTTGATATTTTTAGGGGATCCTGAAAAAACTGAACAGTTGAGAGCCCCTGCATGATGAAGAGCAAGAATGGTCTGGCTGATTCCTCCCAGCTCCCATGTTGTCACATCTGAGGTACTGTGTTCAGCATTATTCTCTCCCAACGCCTTCAAGAAGTGGCATTGTTATACCAGATCCAGAATCCAGGAGCTGTGCGTTATGCTGGAAATTTCACTGCTGTATGACAGATTACGGCAATGTGTCTCACTCTCAGAATAAATTGATGTTTTTTATTGTCGTCCTTCATGAAAAAAGAAAACACCAGAAGAATATCTAGAGCTTTTTGCTATCTTCAGTTTAGTGAGAATAATAATCATAAATCTCGTTACAAGTGCTTTCTTCCTTCCTTCTCTCTCTTTCTACAGTAATATCTTTCAATCTAGACTGTAAATTCCCTGAAAAGACGACAATGTCTGAGTCCCATTCTGGTCTGAGACTAAATAAACAATCCAGAAAGAATTTATATAGCAATATACTAACAGAAAATGCCACAGCAAGCACAGATATGAAAAAGTTATTGATAAGAAATGTAATAATATTTCCAACTTCAGCTGTATTTACTTTACACAGAGAGTCATGAAAACACCTCAAGCATATACAACACATACAGAGGGACTATTTCAGAATGTTTCAAATCAAGAGAGGAACATCTTCGTTACTTTCAAAATCAACGTAACTATTCTTAGTCTCTGCAGGCTTCTCTGGTTGTAGCTTAATAGGTCCCAGTCCAATTCGTTCCTTTTCTTGGATTATCTTTGTTATATCAGGGAATGAATATTTACTAGGATCCACTTCTAATTTCTCAACTTGTCTGCCCCTGAAACAAGAGGGAAACAAATGGAAAGAACTCAATTTCAAACACAGCAGAACTATTTTGGGTGCCTGTTTGTAAACCTGTTGGCTTCTGTGTGAGCGTTGTTACTGAGTCCAATTAAACCAGGATTAAGGGTATTGTAACTTGAAAAGTGATTGTTATAAAAAACCTCAGTGTAAACACAGGAAGGACTACAAAATCTCAGAGATTTTAGACAAAAGAATCCTTATCTTACAAACATCAGAAGTTCATTTTTTAGCTAATTTGCTCTACATCAGAACAGGGTGATTGCTGATATCACATTACAAAAGGTTGGCTTTGGATGTAAGACAGGGGTGTTCTAATCTAATTGGGTATTTTGTTCTTTTTTTCTTTCTGTTCTTTTTTTAACACAATTCCTTCCCAGGAGCTGCCTATTCATTTCTACGTGACAGATTCATCTTTGAAAGCAGAAATGCTTTTATATAGTGAGAAAAAGTAATGATATGGAATTATTTGCTTTTATCTGCTCTTATATTTTAGCAATATGAATCCTCACCATGTTTATATTATGAACAAAACCCTAAATGAAAGTATAAGACAGGTCAGAGGTATAACAGCATTTCCAGATTCTATTGCTATGAAGGGTTTTCTTTTAGATCACCCTTAGAAACGTGTACAGGCCACTCATTAAGGCAACCCTTCCACAGAGCATGATGATCAAAGATATGAAATATACTTTCTGACTTCCAGCATTTAAAGCCACTGCTTTTTTGTAGTAGAGGAGCTGAACAACGAAATGGAAAAATCTAGCCTGTTTTCAAGTAATTTGTAACTGTTTACATGAAAAATGGCAAAGTGGAAATTTAGCTGTATAATAATGTTCTCATTTCTGCAACTCCCAACACTATTTGTGCACCTTCATACTAATTTATATTTTATGCTGAGTGCTACTTTGGGTCAAAGTTCCAAGCTCAGCATTATGAAAGACAGTGCGTTACTCTTCAAAGACATGTGAAAACTCCATGTTTACCCAAGAGATCAGAAAGGTGCATTATTAGAACTAAAATCGACAAAAAAGTGGCAAAGTCACTGGATGAAAGGATGCATTTCTTTGATGACAACATAGGTAATGAAAATATGTAAATATCATTTAAAGATTTTTAACAGAAAATACCCCATCTTCAGCTGTTAAAACAAAGAGAAAGGTTTGCAAAGCAGCTTCCAAATGGTGCCAGTGCTTCTCCATCCAGGCTCTGTGATATATGAGCAGACATCCAAGCCCATATTTGTATGCAGGATCTCTGTCCCAGAGAAGGAGAGATGCAGAGGGATTCCAGGGAGGTTTCATCCTCTCTTCCCATGCTACACTGCGGAAAGCATGACTAACAGAAGAAGCAGTCATCAGCCTAGCTACCTTATTCATCAGCCTTATGCCACTTGATTTTTCTTGTGTTATGGGAATTATTTGATCATTTTGCTGAGTGGCAAACAACTACATAAGCACCCTGCTTTAATAACCATAGAATCATAGAATCATACAATAGTTACGTGGCACAAATGAAAACTACTCAGAGAATTTTATGGGTAATGAAGACAAATACAAGAAAACTCCTTTTTCTTTACCCTGAATGTTCTTCTATTTATACTACTACACAGTTTACTGAAGTAAAAGTGGATTCACTTTGTATTAACATTTTATAAAATGTTCATCCCCAAAACATAAGAGACATTTTTGTTTCCTGTGTAATTTATGATATGTGCTGTGATCTGGAATCAGTGCATCAGTGGTTTTGAGGGAAATCACAAAGAATGCACACCCTGGTATTTTACAGCTCTAAAATTGTACAAATTGCTAGTCATGAATATACAGTAAACTATGGAGTTTGACTAGATTTTTGCTTAGGAGCAGACTAAATCCAGTATATGAGCAATTAACTAACAGTGACCATTGAAAGTAACAATCCACATCAACATGAAAGGATTATACACATCTGTCATTCTCAAAATGTAATTTGCACATGTTATCTAGAAATATCTACTAACAACAGACAATAGGAAAGACTGAAAATCAAGCACAGGTGCTTCCTCTGCTGAGAATCTGCTATCTTAGTGTCATCTATGCAAAAAGAGGCTGGGTATTGATGATGTAAGACTAACCACCTGAAACTTCTGGGAAGAAAGAATGAGCTTTAGGTCATCCAAACATTTTTATGTATAATTCTACCTAGCGGAATAAAAATAATCATGTTGCTGAAACTCTTCTATGAGCAATGGTAAAATAACAGTGATGAAAACAATAACACTTTTTGAAGGACCAGCTACAGCACATTTCTGGAAATTTCCGTGTTCCCAAATATTTTCAATGTCAGGTTAAAAGGAAAAAAGAAGTTCACAGTTTTTGGCACTGTTACCTGCATCTGAGTGTTCCCCACTCAAGGGAAAATTATGGCCTCAAGATTAGAGCACCATACAAAAATAAATAACACTAGATTAAATCCTTTCTTTTTTCCTGGCATTTTTTCCCCTTAGGAAGGCTATTTCTATCTCCACATAGTTCAGTGATTTTTTTAACAAAGAAAATGAAAAAACTCCACAATAAAGTCAGCCCTTCCATTTTGCATAACTATAGCAAGCTGCTGAACAATCTGGTGTGTGATTGAGCACATATCTGATAATTTGATATTTCTTGATAATTTACACTTTTGTTCACACAGTTCTTAATCCCCATATTTGCTATTTTAATGACTTGACAGTTACATTCCCCTGTTTCAGCTTCTGAATTTCAATAAAATTTAGATTACTAAAGCTTTCTCATATGTTTGATCCAGAATATGCAGTTTTTGACATCTGATTGAAAGTTTCTTTTCTGGCATCAGGATTTCCAAAGATATTTACAAGTCACAGCCAACAGCTTTGGAGAGACACTTATTCCAGTCTTCTAACATTGTGAATGAAATGGCAGAAAAGTCATTATCATATTAGAAAAAGTGCTAAAAAATCCTTTTCTTGAATAAGAAAATAAAGTTATTCCAGTAAATGGAATTATGTCTTATTTGGGAGCTTCAAGAAAGACAAATCCTTATTTATGTATGTCAAAAATTGATTGTGAATGTGTGACACTTGCACACAATGTCTGGCCTCAGCTTTTGAAAATACAGGCTTAAAAAAATCTACTAAGTAATCTAAGTAGATAATTATGGTTTTATAAATACTTGGAATATTAATACATCTTTCATTGCATAAGAGGCCTTTCAAATCTCCCTACATAGATGTAGTCTGAAATGAAGCTATGACTGGAGTCTTCAGTCAGTGGATCATTGGGAAGATACAAATACACAATGACTGGTAGACTCAAATTCTTTTTCAAGGACTAAACTACAGTCAAGAAGAACTAACAAATCCTTTGTAAAGAATTCTGATTAAAGAAAGGCTGATGATATCTAGGCCATTCTATTCCAGAAGACAAATGCACCGCACAAATAGGATTCATCAGACTGAGAATGTATATAATACTAGCACCTACGTTTCTCAAAGTTAGACAGAAAATCACAGTCACTGTGACATTTTTGATTTCACTGTTCCATCCCTTAGCTTCTTTTGCACAATCACTTCAAGAAACTAAATTTTGAACTGACCTTGTCTGTTAGCAAGAGATATGCTCTAGCAAACACCTGCATATGCAAACTGATCCTGAATTTCTCAGTCTGGCTATAGTATCATCCTATTTTCACTACTTGATTAACCCAGAAAAATAAAAAGCACTGTTAAATTTGTCAGACTTGACTCCCTAATGTGTAAAAAAAGAGTGTAGCTTACAGTGAATACACATTTTATTCTAACAAGGTGACAAGACTTAGTTTACAAAGTTACACAGTGTTACAAAGAGACTTTAAAGTACGTCTCTGCCCTCAATCTTTTGTCCTTGTCACATATGCACAACTGGAAATTACTTTAGGTTGTAGTGATCAAGAGTTAGCTGAACAGAATTTGTAAGAATACTTTTTTTTCCAGAAGGGCACGTTTCTGAAGTCTCCTCACCCTTATTACAGTTATGGATTGCTAGATGCCTTTGTGTGCAAAGTAATTTTTACTCACTTATGAGACACCCCACCTTTTGTTCTCCTCATTAGTCAGATGATTGAGATGTATACCCTCTGCTTTGATCAGCTCCAGGCCTCTATGAGAATGTAAATGAATCTATACTTTAAGACTAACAAGTAAAACCACCTTTTTAATATGTTGCTTAGTTCTACCTAACTCCACTTTTGGGTCAAGAAGTGAACTGATTACAACTCCTACAAGTCCTCCTTTCCCACACAATGTAACTTGCTTTGTAAAAATTCTCAATATCTTCATGACATTTATCAAACTGGTAGCCAGAAAACCTGACACAGAAAAAGGTATCTTTCATGTATTCTTAGGTATCTTTCTTTAACTGAAGGAATTCAAGTGCGTGTATAATTACAATTAAAGACATTTTTTATTTTTCTTTCCTTTTTTTCTTTTCTTTTTAACTTCTTTTTCATGTTAAAGGAAGAACAGCCTAAACCCAAGGGTATGAGACAAGAATTATTGACTTCATGTAACTCTTAAGATTTCCACTATGCCCTCAGAAAAGTCAGTTCCTACCTACACCTGAATTGCACCTATGCAACTGTGCTGAACTCAACTTTTGTATCTCAGAGATGAATTGTGAGGCCAGTTATTGTAAAGAATGGCATACTCAGCGACTACATAATGGAGGCTTTGGAAGTATAATAAATCAATCTGTCAAATTCCCCCTATAGGAACTTGTCTCTTTGAAGGTTTGAAATACAATTTTTTATACAGCCACAGAAGAATCTCTCTCACGTGGCAGAATTGATAATAGTATCATCATGTAATCTAGCTAACAAGAGTTAAAGAGATTTGAAGCACTGCATTATAGTTTAGCAGATTATATGTCTGATAGCATTTAGCTAAGACATCTGTAGCTGTCAAGTGTAATCACTGTAATGAATGTTCTTCTGTAATCTAAGAGACAACTATTCAGCAAATTTTGAACATCTGGCTAGTCAGCTACTTTACAACTAAAAAGAGGCCAAAACTCACTATTTTTAGTATGAAGTGTAATTCAAAGGACTTTTTTCCTATTTCTATTTTTGTGATATATATTCCTGTAATATTTTAACACTAAGATTTATATTTTTCCTACAAAATCTGTGGTAAGCATATTCGTAACTACATAAAACTGCATTGAAATCAAACAGAAATTCATGAAGTATCACCATGCCATGGATTATCTTTAGTTCATCACCTAGCAGGAAAGGAGACCATTTCACATTATTAGTTCCATTACTTCTATATTCCCATTATTGCTACTATTCACTTCCGTGTAGCCAAAGCTAAAGGCACATTGACAGTTCAAAGGAAATTCATAATCCTAATCACAGGTTACCAACTCTTTTGCTTTTTAGCAGAATCCATTTTGAAAACAAATTATGTCAGTTACTTAACAAGGAAAAATCTGATTTTCTCCTGGAAAAAAAAAAAAAGCTAAGACTTCTTTTTTTAGAACCAATTTCTTTTAATGTATCTAATGCTTCAGTTGTACTTCTATGGGAAAGAACCATTCCTTTTGCAAAGTAGATTCATTGAATAGGACTATAGAACAGATTGGGTTGGAAAGGACCTTTACAGGTCATCTAGTCCAAGCCCCTGCAGTGAGCAGGAGCATCTTCAGCTAGATCAGGTTGCTCAGAGGCCAAATGCAGCTTTTCATTCACCAGTACCCCCCAGTCCTTCTCCCCAGGGCTTTCTCAATTCTTTTATCCCCCAGCCTGTACTGATACTGGGGATTGCACCACTCCATGTTCAGGACCTCATACTTGGCCTTCCTGAACCTCATGAGGTTTTCATGGGACCACTTCTTCAGCTTGCCCAGGTCTTTCAAAATGGCATCCTATCCAAAATAAAAAATTGGAGAGACATCAATTTGATGGATGGACCACTCGGTGGATAAAGAACTGGCTGGATGGCCACACGCAAAGAGTTGTGGTCAATGGCTCAATGTCCAGCTGGAGACCGGTAACGAGTGGTGTCCCTCAGGGATCGGTGTTGAGACAGGTCTTGTTCGACCTCTTTGTCACTGACATGGACAGTGGGATTGAGTGCGCCCTCAGCAAGTTTGCTGATGACACCAAGCTGTGTGGTTCGGTTGATACCCTGGAGGGAAGGACTGCCATCCAGAGGGACCTTGACACGCTTGTGAGGTGGGCTGATGCCAACCTCATGAAGTTTAACCATGCCAAGTGCAAGGTCCCACACCTGGGTCAGAGCAATCCCAGGCACAGCTACAGGTTGGGCAGAGAAGAGATTCAGAGCAGCCCTGTGGAGAAGGACTTGGGGGTGTTGGTCAATGAGAAAATGAACATGAGCTGGCTGCAGTGTGTGCTTGCAGCCCACAGAGCCAACCATATCCTGGGCTGCATCAAAAGGAGCATGACCAGCAGGTCAAAGGAGGTGATCCTGCCCCTCTACTCTGCTCTCAGGAGACCTCACCTGGAGTATTGTGTGCAGTTCTGGTATCCTCAACATAAAAAGGACATGGAACTGTTGGAACAAGTCCAGAGGAGGCCACGAGGATGATCAGGGGACTGGAGCACCTCCTGTATGAAGACAGGCTGGGGAAGTTGGTGCTGTTCAGCCTGGAGAAGAGAAGGCTGCGTGGAGACCTCCTAGCAGCCTTCCAGTATCTGAAGGGGGCCTATAGGGATGCTGGGGAGGGACTCTTCATTAGAGACTGTAGTGACAGGACAAGGGGTAACAGGTTAAAACTTAAACAGGGGAAATTTAGATTGGATATAAGGAAGAAGTTCTTTACTGTGAGGGTGGTGAGGCACTGGAATGGGTTGCCCAGGGAAGCTGTGAATGCTCCATCCCTGGTAGTGTTCAAGGTCAGGTTGGACAGAGCCTTGGGTGATATGGTCTAGTGTGAGGTGTCCCTGCCCATGGCAGGGGTTGGAACTAGATGATCTTAAGGTCCTTTCCAACCCTAACAATTCTATGATTTTATGATTCTTTCCCTCAGGTGTGTCGCTGCTGCCTAAGAAAAGGATACAGTGCTTGTGCTCATGAAGAACCTCAACAAACTCTTGCAGTCTCCCTGTCATTTTCCCATAATCTAGGTAATTCAAGAAAAGAAGTCATGACTGATCTTTATTAAAAATAAGACATAATAGCAGTATACTAAATATTGAGACCCACGATCCATAATGCTATTTTTTACTAATGTTTTAGCCTATCCATCAACATTCAGGCCAAAGAAATCAAACAAGGAAACAAATGCAACACTAAATATAAATGGCTTAACAAACTTTGTTGTTACCTTATCTTATTCTGATATGAATAGCATTGCCTATAGCATGGGGAAAGGAAAGATTAAGAGATATTTCATCGTATTTGTACTTAGGCCCAGTCTACATCTACGGAAATGGCTAATAACACTTGCTAGAGTAAAAACAAAAAATAGTGCATCGCTGATATATGATTTTGGCAGTCATTAACTGTGAGATTTCAAGAGCAGGAGTTTACATCATATTTAAAAGGGTAGATCTATGTTATAAAACCTTGCAGAACTCCTTTTCAAATGTACTTATTAGTGCAGTAGCTCAACCAGTAGACTAGTGAGAAGCAGTTCATGAGAGGGATTCATAATCATTGCGTTCTAAATGGTTTTCAGACTTGAGTTACACAGCAAGGAGCTCTGCAGATGTAATTCTCAGCAGGTGATTTAGTTTTAGTATATACCAGCTTAATAATCTGAATAAGCTGATGGAACAAAACCGATAGGCAGAAATAAGTGCTTTTTTGGCTCTGCTGCTGGAACAGATCGCTTTATAAACAGCACCAGGCAGGCTATTAGCTTTTAGACATAGTTTTACTCTATACAAATCAATATTTTCATGCTTTCAACAGTAACATAATAAGAAGGATACATTCTGGCATGTGAGTAACACATGGACAAAAAATAAAATGAAACTAATGCAGAAGAAAAAAGGAATTACCTTCTTGCATTTTTTTGCAGTGCATTGCAGTCAGAACGCTTAACTAAAGTTGCTACTTTTTGCTTAGGCAGGATTATTTCTTTAGCCTGAAATAAAAATAGAAGAATAATTCTAATGAAAGTTGATACTTATGCTCACAAGCATTTATATAATCTCTCAAAAATAGAAAAACTAAGAGAGTCTGAATAAATTTTCTCTTGTGACATTTACTTTTCTGTCAGATTTTAACACTCTTCACTCAGCATGAAACACATGCATAAGGCAATTTTAACCAAATCATCTGAATGGAATTATATTCAAATATATATATGAGTCTATATATAAAATTTTAAAATATATACATCTATTTGTATTTAAATCCATGCTGTCTTGTTTAGTACTGTGCTAACAATGCACATTGCTAATTTTCTCCACAGTAACTAACTGGTTCATGATGTGCCTCTCACTTACATTTCACTTCTGGTATCCATGTGCTAGTTCAGACATTTTAATTAAAAACTCAGCTGCAGTCTGGACACTTTAAAAAAGGGACAAGTGACCAGAAATGTACAAATGACCAGGAATTCCCTCAGCTCCTTTGCTAAAACAGAATCTCAAGTTCAAAATCCAAGTGAATTCCCCTTCTCAAAGAAAACATGTCCATCACCGTTTTTTGGAAGTTGTGTTGTTGACAAAAGGGAATCTCATGGCAAAACCGTATCTCTTTCCCCTCTTAACATCATAGCAGAGGGACCCCCTTAAGCACTTGACAGGAAGGAGAACAGGAACTACGCCAAATAGTAAATTTTATTGACTATTTCTTAGTGTAATTGATTTGAAAATAGTCCAGGTTAGAAGACCAGTGAAGTTAAAGTATCTGTTCTGAAATATACCAGAAATAGGACAGAGCCTGTAGCTTCTGTTGTTCATCTCTGAAATCCGTGGGGAAGAGGCTGATCCCCTCTGATTCTGTGTTTACTCTGAGGGAAAGCCTATTTCTTTGGATCTTCGTTCTCTTCGCAGGAGGCCCTCTAGTGTTCTGTTCTTTTAACAATAATTCATTCCTTTGATCCCCTTGAGATTAATGTTCCTTACTTTGCCCTCAGAGCACATGAGCAAGGATGGTGAGTAAATTTGCTGATTCCACAACCAACAGAAAAGGTTTCCTTGACAAGAAGTCCTGGCACTTAGGGAAGGGTTAGGTTTTGCCTACTAAAACACCTATTATTTTAACATAGAAGTTCTCCTGTGCAAAAGATGCCCTCTTACCCCTATTCGAGAAAAAAAATACAAATGATATTCTCTAATTATTCTTCTTTTTGAAACACAACTCCATATACAGCAATGGTATGTGAGCTTCACCACACCAGTAGCTGACTGACTGACATCTCTTAGTGATGGTGATGGTGGTCAAGTGAGGACAGCTGTTCTGGAAAACAGAACTGCCATAGTTTCAACTGAGGCTGAAACCAAGATTTTGGGCTTAGCAGAAAGATAGCTGTCTGAAATTTAAAGCCTGTGATATACAGGAAGATGGACTACATTAATGTAATGATACTTTCTGAAAGCTATTCTATGTAACTCTTTCTAATATTTGTATTAATCAGAAAACAGAAAGAAGATCCCTTTTAACATCATTATCAGAAAATTCTAGAAATTGATGTGTTAAGTAGAATATGGAATGAGTAAACAGAAGGAATAAAAACCCCTAGATTTTTAAGCTAAATCAAGCTAAGCCATCTTTTCAGTCTCATCTTTTTTCCCACAGCGACTCTCTTCTACAACAGGAATTCCACTGAGCAAGAGTTTCCCTGAAACACATTTATTCTGAAGGATGAATAGGTTTCTAGTGTTCCACAGCTGTATATCTCCACACGCCTTTGATGGTAATGAAATATTACTGCATTTACCATACCTAGAAAAGAGAGAATTACATAATGTAATTCCATCAAATAACCTTTCCACTGACATGCATAATATATACCACTCCTATTTTTAAATTAATTAAAGAATCTACCTCTCATTGATCTTTAAATTTCTAAATGCTTTTGAAGGGCCAGGCAATAAAAAGCTGCCAGAATTCATTTGTGACTGCTTATATAACAAAAAATTAATCACAAAGTCCAAATTTTTTCTCTCTGATTCATTAAAATAAGGACAGTGAAGTTTTAAAACATGTCATGGAATATTTCAGAGCCCTAAATGAAAACTGCTTGTTAATAACCCTGGGTTTTGATGCTTTCTCTCAGACGTTAATTAAAATGCTATTGGTGTAATCTACTGATGACATTTTACAAAATCATTGATTTAATATGCCAATTTTGGTCAAAGTCTATTAAAGAAACTCTCAGATTTTAATTTTACTGCATCATCTGCAATGATGACACTGCCAGAGCAGAGAGGTTCAACATTTGAAAAGTTTCATGTCACAAATATTTTTCCCAGAAAATGAGGCATGTCCAATGTAGTCACTATCAACTCCTTATTCATGCAAAATCTCTGTAAGATGATTATTGCAGTATAAACACTACACTTTAGAAGTGTCACTGTTTCATTTCAGTGAATGTGTCCTTCAGTTTGCTTTGCTGACCTGGCAAGAAATCATGAGTAGATGCTGCCTCAGAAAGACAGCCATTCTGCAGTGATTTGCTGTGCAGTAAATAGCACATTTAAGAAAAATGTTTCCAGAAAAGAAGGTGAAAATTATTTGTTTTCTTTTACTTCATGTCAAATTTATGATCTCCAGTATTTGTGCTATGGCAAGGTCATCCGAGAGGCAAGGAAAGAGGTTTTTGTTTTCATTTTAAATGCTAGGGAGCTGTGATCAGGCTGGAAGATGAATGGTGATAGGTTTAGTAACCTGATCAGAAACTGACTAAAGCAAGTGAAAAACACTTATTGAATTCAGTTCACTTTCTGTTCTGTTACTGATAGAAATCTTGTCAGGATAGTATTGCAAGCATATTATAAAAGACTATTTTTAGTTTAAGAGCATTTTTAACATTTTAGTTACCTGAGGAATGTACTAGGTCATTTATCTAGTTGCAAATAATTTTATTTTGATAGTAGTTGTTTAGCAGAAACAAAAAGGTTATATGGTGCAATATAGTCATTAAGCTTGTCTTAACACTCATACAACCTGAAAGAAGTTGCGTGAACACTGTATCTTAGTACCTTGGTAGAAGATTCATATTAAGTTGTTATCAAATTAGTGTTCTCATTGTTGATAACCTCAGCCATAATGTTCTGGAAGAAAAGTATCTCTTGGCCAGTTGTTGCTAATCTTCATTCATTACACTTTGCTTCCCAGATTACATCCTATTAATACCAATAAAGTTTCTATGGATAGAGAGCCTCTGAAAAGGATATGTATCTCAAAAATGTAACTCAAGCATTCTAATTCAGTCCTGGGGAAAGAGAACAGACTCTCTGACTGCAGTAGAGAAGCTAGCATCTGTTACATGCAATTGCTGCTATGTAGCATGAATCCAACTTTGGTCAGCAAATCCATGAAGTTCACAGGATCACAGACTCACAGAATGGTTGAGGGTGGAAAGAACCGTGGAGGTTATCTGGTCCAAGCCCCCAACCAAGGCAGAGCCACCTAGAGCCCAGGACCATGTCCAGGTGGCTTCTGAATATCCCCAAAGATGGAGACTCCTCAACTTGTGCTAGTGCTTGGTCACCCTCACAGTAAAAGTGTGTCCTGATGTTCAGAGGAAACCTCTCATAGAATCATAGAATCGTTAGTGTTGGAAAGGACCTTAAGATCATCTAGTTCCAACCCCCTGCCATGGGCAGGGACACCCTAAGCTAAATCATATCACCCAAGGCCTCGTCCAACCTGGCCTTGAACACTGCCAGGGATGGAGCATTCACAACCTCCCTGGGCAACCTATTCCAGTGCCTCACCACCCTAACAGGAAAGAATTTCCTTCTTATATCCAACCTAAACTTCCCCTGTTTAAGTTTTAACCCGTTACCCCTTGTCCTGTTACTACAGTCTCATGTTTCAGTCTGTGCCCATTACCTCTGGTCCTGTCACTAGGCACCATGGAAAAGAGCCTGGCTCCATGGTCTTTGCACCCCCCTTCAGGTATTTACACGTGTTGGTAAGATCCCCTTGAGGTTTCTCTTCTCTAGGCTGAACAGTCCTAGTTGTCTCAGCCTTTTCTCATTGGAGAGATGCTCCAGTCCCTTCAACATCTTCATGGCCCTTTGCTGGATTCTTTCCAGTTTGTTCACGTCTTTCTTGCACTGGACACAGTACTCCAAGTGCATCTCACCAACTCTGAATAGAGTGGAAGAATCCTCCCTCAGCCTGCTGGCAACTCTCCTAATGCCAGCCAGGGTACAATTAGTCTTCTTTGCCAGAAGAGGACATTGCCTCTACAAGAGGCATACATTCTACAAGAGGCTCATGTTCAACTTGGTGTTCACCAATGCTCCCAGGTCCTTTTCTTCAAAGCTGCTTACCAGGATCCAAGTTTTTGGATCCACTGACAATGAAGATATTAGACCACGCAGCATTTCATTCATGCTTATCTCCCTGTGTCCCAGCTACACAAGCAGTTTTTGACCAAACCAAGGCAAAGCTCAGAACATCAACTCAGTTATTCTATTCTCTCTCCTCAGGTCTCACAACTATCTATGAATCATGACATTCTGAGATGAAGCAGGCTTCAGACCCTCAGACTAGGTAAAATATATAGGTGAAATAGAGGTGAATTATAAAGTCTGTAATGGAATACAGGCAGTTCTCAATCACAATATGAAGAAAGGATATTCATTTTTCTGATTTAGGTATGACTTTCTAGGCAGGCAGCAGAGTTTATTATATCCAGAGATTCTCTGAAACATTTACATTTTCTAATACACTGATTATCCACAAAGAGACTAGTAAGATGCATGAGTAATAAAAGTTTGTTATGGGATAGCAAACTGATAGCACTTAAAATATCCAAAAGACAATTAAATTGTAAAACTGTTCAGCAACATTTGAAAACAACATTATCCAAAATGGCAAATGTCAAGGCCTCAGTTTCAAAGCAATAAATTTAGGAAAGTCTAAATTATCATATGAGTGAATTTTGAACATTAACAAAATATGGATCTTAACCAAATGAGTACAATTCTCAGCATTCTTCAAGCTCCTGGTGAAACTGCATGCTTGATGCTAGAGAGACAGTTTGTGATTTAATGAGAGGCAGTCCATGTAAGGAAAGACAGATGGCATGGGACTGGAGTGTAGAAGAAAACATAGAAGGTATAGAACCACAAGTGGAAAAAGACAAAAGCCAAAACCTGCGTTTTCAGGGTTTTTTTTTTACTTCAGTTTTAGCTACTAGTTGCATAGTCTTAGAATTAAATAAGAGCACAAAGACAAAGAACTGATCCCAAATAGCAGCTGAAGGCTCCTCCTTCAGAAGAAAATGCTGTAATTAATATATCTTGGCAAATTAATCTGTGGCACCATGTCCCACTGCTACTACCCAGCAGAGAAACTTCCTAGAGGCCACAAGGGTAAAGCTAGAGTACCAAGATTTTTATTTTTTTTTCCTGGAAACTATTGTTACTCTATTTCTGAAAACCAAAAATATACAATGTAGTCCTAGAGGACTTAAAAGCCCCCAACCTTCCAAAGTAAGGGAGGAGCAAGATGTTGAAGTTTATTAACCTCTCCCATCTTCCACTGGACCAGGTTGCTCAAAGCCCAAATCAACCTGGCCTTGAACACTGCCAGGGATGGGGCAGCCACAATTAGATTCTCTTCCCATGAAGATCACCTGAGACGTGAGAGGAGTACATCATCCCTGTCTTTGAACCAAACATAACCTTCATACATATATGTGCCACATAATTTTTTAGTAATTGAGTTGTATTTATTATTTCACAGGTGAAAAAGCGAAGTAGGTAAGTTGCTTATTTTCAATTATTTAAAAATCTTCTTATACAGTTGCACAACACTGCATGTTTTGCAGAATCTCTTTTCATATATAAAAAGCTGGTTTTGTTGAAAAGAAAGGAAATAGAAATAGTTCTATTAATACTGATTTTCACAATGTTCCTTTACAGGACTCTTAAATCCTATGGTTTCTCTCTATGATTAATTTTTTACTGGAATTCTCCTTCCTTGGAAAATACATCCTGATGGGAAAGGCTGGACTGAATAACTTTAGCTAGGCAGATGTTACTTGTAACATTCCTGAAGTATTCACAACATTTAAGTATCTTTGTATAATGCCTCCTCAGATTACTTTACCTTTGGCATGCTGATAACTAAATGACCGGTTGTTTGTGATCTTTTAGCAGAGCTGCTGTCTGGCTTCACTTCCTCAGGGAGCACAAACTGAAATGGCTGTAAGAAAATGTGGGGTTGGAGTATATTATGCTACAATATCTGGGTTTTGTTGGTTTCGTTTTTTTTTTTACCTGCACAGAACACATGCAGAAACATCACTATCACATCCTTTGATCTTAAGGACAGTAAAGGTCTAAATCCTCTCACTTTATTTATAGTATTACTAACCATAATAAATTATTAGCATGCTAAACAGCTTTCACTTGACAAGTATAGTCACATACATATTCCTGAATTGCTGTCATAGCCAAAGTGACATTTCTAAAGAAGGTTATGAAATGACACTTGACTTGTATTAGCAATTAAATAAGAAAGATTATCCAGTCTATTTTAGATGTAAAGTACTCCTGAAATTTTGTTTGTGTAGTTGGTACAGTCAAAAATAGGGATTTTGGTTTACTGTTTTAAGTAACTTGGATTTTTTTCAAAAAATGGATGGTAAAACCAGGAAGAAGACAGACAAGTGGAATGACATTTTAAATGCCCTTTAAAAGAATATACATCCATTTGTTTCTGTCAGCTATGAATTCCAGATTGTGAAATTGCTAAATTCTAGCCTAGGGCCACCAGCAAGATCTCTTCTTAAGTCAATTATGGTACACTGTGTGGGGGAGAAACAAGAGAAGGAGAGAAGAAGAGAGAGTGAAATTTCATTTCAGGCTTTGCACATCTTCTGGTTAGGACTTACACAGTTTATGTGTGGTCTAAAATAATGCAAGTATGAAAGAACTTCTTCTGCATAGGTGCACACGGTAACTCATAGAAGTCAGACCCAGAGTCGTCTAAGTAACTATGGTCAATGATAACTCTTGGTTTGAAATGAATGTAGTAAGAAAACACTAACCTTTCCCTTCACCATTACACGTACATAAGTTGGCTGGACATCAATATCAAGCAGAGAAGTGTCCAAATGTCTTCAGGATGAAATACAAATAAAAGAATCAATTTACAATACAGTCCAGTAAATAAGCAGTGCAGAACATATAGCTCTTTAATGGTGATTTTGCAGTTTATAAGCCACAAACTTCAATTCTAATTATTATGTGAAATATGTGTATATTTCAAAGTGTTAACATCTTTGGAAGGAAAACCTGATCTTCCCATGTGTTCTCAGAATTTTAACTAAAATAACATCTGAATTCTGTCAAGTTTACCACATCAGCAATTCTATAACTGCAAGAATTCAAAATCTTTGTGGCAAATGGTTTTTCATCTATTAGCTTTGTGCTTTACATTGCTATGAAAATTGATTTACTATTTAAAATTGCAAAATTATTTTGCTACTTTTGTTTCTGAAGGCTTAACTAGTAAATGTATAGTAAGAGATCATTTTTTTTTGCACAGAGTTTGCTGGACAACCATGAACAGAAATACTTTGCATTTCTAGAAATCAGAAAACTGCAAGTCTGTCAAACACAATTTGGACCTATTAAAGCTCCACTTTAACATCTGCTCTTCATCATGTGACACATACCCTCATGTGAATGTACAAGTACATATTCTTTGTTTCCCTTCATTTATAAAGTTACCTCTTGAGTGAATTTTTCAAGTGAGCACAAAATATTATAACATGTCCAATATCTTATTGCACCTGAACAGATTTTCTGAGGCTCCAAAAAAGCTAATTCTTAGAATTCAGAAATAGAAAGCAGGACTCTTTTGAGGGAAACCAATAAGCTTTAAGGGAAGAACACCTGGCATGAATTGTGTTTCTGTGCTATAATACTAGTTCAAGCTTTACTCTAACAAATTCCTATTATAGGTAAATAAGCTTTTAGGTTTCCAACCCCTTCCTGAAGCCTGGGCAAGGCTTAGTAGTATATATTAGCAAATAGTTATCAGATTTCCTGGTTCAAGCATACTTCTTCCAGCCAATAGCCTGGCACAATTCAGGAAACAGCATGGACTATGGACTCTCTCCAGTAAGGAAGGAAAGTAGGACAAGGATAACCTATTCTGTCATAGGGAGGCAAAGAATTTAGACAGGACATTAACTGTACTAGAGCACTTGGGGAAAAAAATCCCTACAACCTTAATCTGCAAATAAAGAATGAAAAAGATTTTACGTAAGTATAAAAGGAAAGGTGTGGAGGAAACCTGTCTGTGGACTGCAAGGAACATCAGGTGCAAAAAAACGACTGTTAAGAGTCCTCATTCACAGTGACAGAACAGTCTGAAGGCTCTATGGTTTATTCAGATTCATTTCTCCTGCACAGACTTCAAGACTGATTCCGGTACCCCCAATATTATTTGTTTTCCTCTTGAAAATTCCCAGTTACAGAGAGGAATATAATTGAACACTGTGTATTGAAACTTCAGAATGGCAAAAATTAAGAGAAAATAAATCTGACCTGTAAATAGCAAGATCCAAGATGATCTGGTTGTTTTCTTCATCATCTTTCAAAGAGAAATGAAGCCTAATAATAATAACAAGAAAACCTTCAGGATAAATACAATTGGAGTGAATAAGCAAATATCACAGCATCCTTTCACTGCTAGCACTTTTAGATGAATACAAACACCATTGAGACAATATATCACATGATCATTTTAGGAACAGTTGCAATTTGCCTCCTGAACACAAAAATATGCTGGTATCTGAACAAAAGTCATTCTTTCATTCATTTTTTGTTCTCCCCACCCAACCCACAAGGAAAAGAAGACACAAATACTGTTGAAGGTCAGTTAAAAATTAAGCTCAGCCTGTCAATGCAGAAAGAGAGACATCTGCTGGTGAAATCTGCCTGCTTTACCAACATCTTCATAGCAAAAACAGTTCGTTCATGAAAAGCATGAAAAGCGTGGAATTTGATAATTCTAAACATATACGCTAAAAAAAATCTGCATCTTTGTTGATAGCAGTTAATTTGTCTAAAGTATACACATCTGCCTGTGCATTTCCAAAGTAATACATGATTTGTACAATATCATCGATATTGTATTCTGATACAGTCAATTTGCAAGAAAGTTTATGAAGCTTTTGAGTTATGGGCATTTTTTTAATGGAATACTGTAGAGAATGATATTCAGGCTTTTTTCTTTTATTGCATCTTACTTATTGCAAACTTTGAGAAATCACTAAAATATGAAGGGTGAAAAAGAGAAAAGAACTGTAAAATTTTCTAGGGGGAAATCTAATCAGAACTGAGGAAGAAAAGTAGTCTGCTTTCAGCAGAGTTCGCTTGCCAACCTTCCAAAAGAACAGCCAAGAAGCTTGGACATTGCTATGGGCATTAGACTTCTGCACTGAAGCAAAAACTTTGGAGAACACTATCTGTCTACTTGTATCTCTTTATTTATGTCTCTCTGACACACTGCCAGATTGCATGAAGAGCTGTGATATTCTTGTTGAAGCCATGACAGAAACTGATCATTGATCTGGCTTTACATGGGCACATACACAGACTAAATTCTAATCCAGAAAACTTGGGTGACACAAACAGGACTGCTACTAACAGTGAAGTCTAGGGACTTTAATTCTTTTAAAAAGATAGATAGCTAGACCTTTATTCTAAATGCTTCTGCTTTTTAGAGGTACAATCAAATTCTATGAACTATTTTAATTAAACTATTTTAGACTTCTTTGAACTAGAAAATAAAGTTTTTTTCAATCAACACATTTGTTAAAAAAAAGAAGTACATCAATACAATGGTAAGTATCTCCCGGTGCAGATGGAATAAACAGGAGGTCTTCCACTACCTTTAGTTTTCCCTATCCCACTGAAAATGACGCACTGATTCTACAATGCAGGTTTCAAATTCCTTGAATGTGCATGGATTTATAAATTTCCAAGATTTAGAAAGCATTCTTCATGCAAACGATGAGCATGTTCTGAGCTTTGATTTTGCAGCTAGATCAGTCTTAAGATGGAAAATCTTGTTCAGAGGACAGCAGACAGGTACGTGGCCTTTCACATGCCGCTTTTTGATCACTCTTCTATAGAAGGCTCTCGGGGGAGCCATTTATGAGGAAACAATGTTTGCACTCTGTCTTCTCCTTTAGAAAAGAAAAGGTTGATTCAAGAGAAACCAATGGTAACACACAGACGATATCTCTGGAAACTCATTCCATAATACTCAGGTGCCTTTGTAAATGATAAAATACAAAAAGACTTCCCTGCCTCTGTTGCTAGAGACCTCATTCAGTGTCAAAGGACCTCATGCCGTAGAAGCTGATTACATATCCTTCCTAATTCTGAGAGGGTTTCATCTGTCATCAGAGGACTGAATAATTCTGTCCAGAAATATTACTTGGATGTATTTTCCCACATTTAAAGTGTGTACCCATACACATTTATCTTTCTTCAACCAACTGGTTAAACTTTTTCCACTCTTAGTAAGATGCTCCAAGAGAGCCTTACCATAGAAGGAAAAAGAGTAAACCACGTTATATCTATCTTTTACAGAAAAACAAGCTCTTCCATCATCAGAGACCAAGATGTTAAATTAAACAACCTTCAACACCTCACTCACTGAAAACTAATTATTTTTCCAGCATCTGCATATAAATTTAGAAGTCGGATTCCACACCAGGGACCTTACATACTTAGGCACATTCACGTTCAGAACTTTTCCCTCTGCAGTGACCAGTGTCCAAAGAGGCTTCTCTTTCTTTTTTGATTCCCTTAACAAAACAAAGAAAAATGGTTTAAAATTTGACATTCTGGTATTCTATTTCAGTAGCAAAAAAAAAAAAAGAAGAGGATGGTAAGAGGTAAGAATTATCTGGTATTTGCTATTAAAGCTACAATTTATTGCAGGAACAAAACAGGTTATATCAAATGTCTGATTGCACATTAAAAGCATCATTTAAATATGAGCAAATGCTTTGTAATATCACGTCTTGCATTGATAATAACTTCTTCTGGGCACGTCACAGTGCCCATTATTGAACAGTAATATATCAAATTTATCTGTATATCTTAAGAAATCAGTGGATTGCTTAAACATAGGAAATGGGACGTTTTTCTAGTTATAAATGGTCACACTAATCATGAGATATCATTACTGTTAACCGATTCAGTGCGTGTGCAAGCAATTCTAAAGACATTACATGCAGATTGTTTAAAAAAATCTACTGCATTTTTTGTTGCATTCTTCCTTCAAATAATACAAAACATATTACTGATGGAGACTTCAGTCTTCACTAGCTATGTCCAACTATCAGCAATTAAACTATGACTTTCATTTGGTGCAAAAATAAGCTACCTTAAATTTTCTGCAAAGTTCATTAAGTCATGTGGCACTGATGTTTTCCTGTATAAATGTTTAAATCATGAGCAAGGAGAGGAAGAGTAAAGAATCTTAGAAAAAGAAAAATCTGCTGGCACCTAGGTAAAAAATGGCTATCTTCTCTTTAAAATATAGCAGTGTAATTCTTGCTTTGCATTAATCCACTCTTCAGCCTACTTCAGCTGGCATAGAAAAAAGTATTTCTCAAAAAGACAACAGCAATTCATTGCTTTTTGTGTTCCCAAACTATTTTCTTACTGTAAATTCAAAATTAAGAGAACACTACAGGTAAATCACTAATGAGGTAAATAAAGTATGTAAGGTTTAGACCGACTTTGGGGGGAAAAAAAGGCATAAAAAAATATTTGGTCTATAAATATGATGGATTTGAAGAAGAAATAAAAACATTCAATTGGAGCTACTGGAATGACTACGTAAAAACAACTTCTATTTAAGAAAGATTCACAACTACCCCTGTGTTCAATAGTATTCCATAGTATAAATCAGAGGTTTAACGGGATTTGTGGGCTAGCATCTTCTATACCTGAATATCTACTTTTGACATTGAAGTGCAAAGTGAACTTCGTTCTAAAGATGCTGTTTTCAGAAATACTTCAGGAAATTATATCCTACCACCTTTTAGCTACTAATAATCTGTTTCTAGATGAAATATGTCTGCTCATGTGAACTATTTCAAGGCAAATCCAGTTATGTCACAAGCATTAGAATTCAAGATAAGTTCTTTAACTTTGTGCTGAGATGAAAGGCCTTGTTCTGGCAATGAGCAGCTAAAGGAGATCCTGGGCACCCTTCAGCTGCAACTGATTTTACACTTTTCTGAAGTTTCTTTGGATGAAACTACAGGTACTCAATCATTTGGCAACCACCAAAGCTGCTCAATTTATTATCAGCTGTGCAACTTTAACATAGCTAGCAAATTTGATGTGTGCTAACATGTTGTAGATGGGCTTAAATTTAGCACTGGTGTGATTGAGGTCATGACCATTTCATACAAAACCCTCATCCTTTTATACTGAGCAACTTACATTAAAGTTATATTTCCACTCTTGTCCACCAGCAAGATTTGAAATCGTCAGGGAAACTTTTCTGTTCTCACCTTTCTCATGCTACCTCAAAACCAATATAAAATGAACCATGAAAGGAATTTTAACTCCTTCAAATAACTTGGAAATTCAGAATCAAATTCAGAAATTAATTATTCTATCTTTATTGTAACACTATTTAAAATCTCCTTGAATATATTTAGAGGGAAGCATTTGGAAGAAATTTGCTTTTGACTAGAGCAGGGCATCCCCAAACACAGCAAAATTCTAACTAGCTAGAATCTGGGTTTCACAGTAGTTCTTCGGAGAAAGTGCTAGACCTTGAAGTAATAATAGCAACAAGTTATGCAGATTTCCAGACTTCTGGGAGAGTTCCCTGGGACTGACTTTTTCAATACTTAGGCTTCATAAACCTTTTAAAAAGCATGCCTTTAAAAAGAACAGCTAGAAAAATCTCTGGCACAAATGCTGTTATATAAGCAAAAAATAAAGAAGGAAAAAAAAGACATTGCTTACAATGTTTGTGGAACTGATAAGCCAGCAGCAATAAAAAAACCTGATTTTTGTCATATCTGCATTAATTTTCCATGTTCAGCAAAACCAGTGACAACTTTAGGAAGTTTGAAGGGCTTTTCAGGGGCCACACATCTTCGATTCCAAATAGCATAGATAGCATGAAGAATCTCATTACTTGGGATAAACATCTTTGATAAAGCACATGAAAAGATTCCTAAGTCACATAGAAAAGGTGTCTGAAATGTCACTTGTAGTGTGGACTGTAGGGCATCTGTACAATGCAATCTGCACCCTGGATAAATCCTTTCAGCAACAATATGAAATATCAAACTACACAAAATACATTAGTTAGCGGACACAAAAGTGAAATTTCTAGAGTCCATAAAATGGAGTTGAAAAGTGAAATTCCATTTAAAAACTCCATTTGAGGGAAAAAAAATACCATTCATTTTAGAAAATGAAAACAAACAAAATGAAGAGTCTGAATATTTCACTTATATTTTATAAGCATATTTGCACAGGCAACAGGGATTTAAGCTGCCAGTTCTCAGTAACACTTAATGTGAGGCAGTCACCTTCCTCTTCTCTGTATCTTTGAAAATTTCCCTTTTTTCAACTCATAGAATATAATAAAATAAAACTCTACCTTACATTCTCTTTAGCTCTTCGTTTCTCTTCAATGTATCTGTGAGTTTCTAATCTAGATTCTGGAGTGTATGACGTAGGCTCCTCCCAAAATCTTTTGTCTTCATCATCTTCAGTTGTTCTCCATGATTCTTGTTCTTCACCTCCTTCTGCCTGATGTTTTTCTTTCTCCTGTATGGAGTCTGGACTACACAAGATCATGTGGAATATTACCACAGAATCATAGAATCATAGAATGGTTAGGGTTAGAAAGGACCTTAAGATCATCGAGTTCCACCCCCTTTGCCATGGGCAAGGACACCAATGAAACAAAGGAAGAGTAACAGTACTTGCTAATGAATTCTTGTAATAATAAATTTTTTTAACCCAATACTAATAGTTGTATGATTCCTACAAAGAACAATATCTTATATATCTGGATAGATATCTCTATGCTTCTTTCATCAACCAACAAAATGTATTTCAACATGTTTTTCATTGACTTAACTGAGCAGTGGTACTATGGTTATGCCTAACTCTCTGAAAACACTGATAGATCAATGTGTTTAATTACAGGACCAGAACTTTCAGATACCCTTACAGCTTACAAGTGAAAGAAACCTTCAGTCTGTGTGATGTTTAAACATTCCCAATATCAGGAAGCAGCAGATTAGAAATTTATAGGGTAGCAATATTTTACTTGGGCATCTCCTCAAATGCAACCTTAGAACCTGAATCATTTTTCTCCCTAGCCCTAAGCCTCTGTAATATTCAGAAATTCTCTGCCAATATAGAGAGAAAACTAGATTTATGATACAGTTGTGATATATGAGGACAAAGTTCCATAGCCAGCTCCATGGAATTTAGTCTTTATTGGATAAAAAATAAGATGGATGGCAACTGCAGTGGGATCTGAGCCCAGACAAAAATCCTTCTGCTGTCTAGGTAATCTCAGATATATTAGGTGGAAGAATAGAGAAATGAACATTCTATACCCTTTTACATCTCAAAAGATCTGCAATATTCCATTTCAGTCTTCATATCTAATAACTGTATAGCAAAGGAAATTACAGGTGAACAGCTGTTTTCTCTGGAACCCCTACATTTCCTTAAACAACAGTTTCCATCTGTACTCCTGAAAGAAGCCATCAATTACACTATTTTGGCACCCAGTTTGGAGTTTTGGTACCAAAATTCTATTGTACTGTCTGCAGGTCAGTAATTAATCATGCTTGTAATTAATTATATTTTTCATTAGAGGTAACATGCATGAGGAAAATTAATGCCGCTAGAATCAACAATAATGACAAACAAAAATACTGAAGTGGAATTATATAAACTATTCAATGAGGAAAAAGCAAATTCTTAATAAAGAAAGAATGGCATTTACCTGTCAAATCCAAGCTTAGATTCCATTTGTTTTTGTTTCTTGTCCTTTCTTTCTTGCATCCTTCTTTGAGCCTCTTCCTTTTCTCTAGCCCTTTTGAGAAGATAAGCTTGTTCCTGTTCTCTGATTTTCTGTTTCACTTCTGGATAGTTTTGAAGTGCTTGAATCCTCTCTGAACGTTCTATTTGTTTACTATCCAAACACTTCCCAAAGGGGAAAAATATAGATATATGATAAATTTTAAACATATTTAAATCAATAAATCCATTACACTGTAGGTTAATTTCGATAATTACTTTCTGTATAAACTAAAAATATGCATTTCCATAGCACTATGTAAGTTATACTGTATTAGAAATAATTAACAATAACTTGCTATTCATATCTGAAAATGGGTTTGTGTGTCTGAGAGATGATTTTTGCATTCTCCAGGAATGTCTATTGGTCTTATCAGACTATATAGTAGAGGGGGTCCATATAGCTATTTCTGATATTCATCCAACCTTGGTTCAGCTCATGAAGTTATTACAACATTATTTCTTTTGATGTGTTAGTTTATTGCCAACTAAGTGAGCTGAATTTACTCTTGCTTAACTTACTGAGTTAAGCAAGCGTCTTGAGCTTTTCCAATGACATTGTGGGACTGCCTGTTTCAATGACAGGAAATCATTACATCAGTGCAGGCATTGCAAAAAAACCTCAATATACCGATTTATTATCACATTATTTACTGTAGTCACATATTCCTCATAACAGAATTTAATTTCCTGTGACAGTAAGAAAATGCTACCAGCTTTCCTGTCACAGGCATTTATTTTTAGTATGTTAAGTCAACAATCTCATTATTTATTTGAATATACATTTAATTTTTAAAATCTTACTTTTAATTGATGCAGAGTTGCCACTACAAATTGTCTGTAACCTTCAAATTCAGTACAAGGGTTACCCACTAGAAACAGTTCATTCAGATGTATATTATGTTTTAGGGCTTCAATACTGGAGAGTTCACCAATGAAATTTGCTGTCAGGTCGAGTTTCTTCAGTTCTTCACAACCTGTTTGAAATAAACTTAATTCAATTTGAACATAAAATAAACATACATGACATATACACACATCAAACACACACAGGCGCAAACACTTGGCTATAAAACTGTCTGCACTTGTTGCCTTACTACTAATTTCATCCAATCAGACTATGTCTTTTCCAAGCCACTAGTGAAAGAGTGACTCACAGCTTAAGTTTATAAGGTCACAGTATTTGTAGAAAACAGAAAATTCTAAAGAAGATACAAAATAGCAAAGCTTATTATTGGCTATATCACTATCAAAATGTTGTGGTCAATGCTAGTATACTAGATGAGCTATTGTTTCAGCTATCATTGTGAATCATTGCTTAAATTGCAAATACTGGTAATCATAGAATCATAGAATGGTTTGGGTTGGAAAGGACCTTAAGATCATCCAGGTCCAACCCCCCTGCCATTGGCAGGTACACCTCACACTAAACCATGTCACCCAAGGCTCTGTCCAACCTGGCCTTGAACACCGCCAGGGATGGAGCATTTAACACGTCTTTGGGCAGCCTCACCAGGCTCACAGTAAAGAACTTCCTCCTTATATCTAACCTGAACTTCTCCTGTTTAAGTTTAAACCCATTACCCCTTGTCCTATCACTACAGTCCCTAATGAAGAGTCCCTCCCCAGCATCCTTATAGGCCCCCTTCAGACACTGGAAGGCTTCTATGAGGTCTCCACGCAGCTTCAATTCTCCAGGCTGAACAGCCCCAACTTTCTCAGCCTGATGATCGGCTCCAGCCCCAGTCATCATTGTAGGCCTCTTTCAGACTTGCTCCAACAGCTCCATGTCCTTTTTATATTGTTAACCAAAACAATTCGTTATAAACAGAAACTCTTAATTAGCCAACAAAATCCTCTGGGAAATCCAGATCCAAAAATTATCAGCCTCTCCTTTTATCATAATTTGTCCCTGAAGCATCAGCTTGACTCTAAGAGTAAAAAAGTTTACCTAACAGGGAGCTCAGCCTTAATGCTCATCATTGTGATCACTTGTGCTCCTTTGCAGGTCTATTTGGAAAGCATTTTCTGCACATTGGCACTGAAAGAAAATAAGCAACTCCAAAGGATTTATTAGGGGTTTTAAATAACCCAAATGTTTGGAAGGCTCACTCCTAAAGGTTCTGACTTGTCAGGAAATGACAAATCACAGTAATAAATGCTGCAGCTGGATAAAGGAACTTAAAATTTACTGGTATGAGAACAGGTGCAAGTTTCTCAACATATTGCCAAATATGTAACGTACTACCTGTTTCTTCAGCTTTTACAGACTTTCGTTTAGCCTGTTTGCTTATCTTTCATTTAAGTCATCCTCTTGATTCAGCGTGTAGACTTAAAAAGTACCAAACTAAAAACCCCAAAATAAACTAAACAAAAAAATAAACCAAAACCCCAGCTTTTTTTTATTATTGGTGACTTGTCAAGGTGGACATTGTAAAGATTTAGCAACTGACCTAATCAAAATCAAGAAAGAGGAAGCAAGGAAGTCAAAAATTAGTCAAGTAATATGGAATGCGTTTATGGGCAGCTCTAAGACCTAGATTTTGAACTTGGAAAATGCTAGACTTTTGCACATGCAATGCTAGTAACAGATAAACCAGCGAGAACTTCATGTAATGACAAAGAATCATTTGAACAGCTCTTTAAAAAATACCCCAGACTGTCAATGCAAACGGTACACAGAGTAGAACCTTCTTGTGTGTAACACTTGATTGCTGAAATGAACTGGACTGCTGAAACATGACACAAGAGAGACTTTATATAGCCTGCATAGCATTAAATAAATAAATAAATAAACAGCATTGCTCCAGTTAACCTGAATAACAAGTTCTTATCTCTACAGTAGAGAAATACCAATTTCAAAACAAATTTGGATTTCCATTTTGTAAAGCATTAAAGAATAGAGCTATCATAGCTGGCAACACTGGTGACAGTGTATGCAAAACATAAGTTAAAATATGCTTAAGAAAATTCAATGTCATAGCTTCAGCAGTGAGACCCACTTGCTACAAAGAAGCCTTTGTGGAAAAGCTGCACACAAAACAGCTCTTCTGAGTCAACAAAGTACCTTTTACTGGTGGACATACCCTCTTATACACTCCCTTAAACACTCTTTTACACTAAATCACAGCTCAAGTGTTTCAACATGAAATGGCAAAATGGTTTGTTTAAAAGCTGACCTTCCAGATTTTCAATTCTTTCTATGTTGTTCAAAGCTACATTTAAGTATTCCAGCTTCTTCAGTTTGCCCACATTTTCTGTAACAAAACAGATCTGTTATTTCAGTTTTATTCACTGGAAACGGTATTATGATTTTACTAGCTCACTTCAATGAAACAATAAAGCAGAAAAATAGGAAGGACAAATCAGAATAGGTATCAGATTATTGAGCATTCATATTTTAGTATTAATAAAAAGACAAAACAAAAAAAGTTTCCTGAAACACCATCTAAAATTAAACAGTAAAATAAATAAGGTTTTTAACCAATTTTTTAGCACAAATTATAAAGCACATTTATAATGCAAGAGAAACAGTCAAAAAGCACAGTAAAACATTCTATCTATCTGTCATGAAACTCAGAAAGGATCAGGACATACTTAATCAAGCTTTATAAAATTAGAGTTTACACTCACTTATATAGAAAAGATTGGCTTTGGTAGTACAGATTTAATTTTTAAAGGTCTTTTATCTACAAGGTTAATACAAGACATTTAATCCCTCTGAAAATTTTGCAAATAAGGATTTTTATGGCTTCAGTATGAACAAAACAAAGCCACAAACACCCCTAGTCTGGAATCTAACCTGGATTATTTTCACCATGGACTACTGAAATTATCAGGTTGTGGAGAATTATATCAGAATGGCTAACATTTCCTCTTTTGAATATAGAAAGGGAATAGGATCTTCATCCCTCCCCAGAATGCCTGAAAAATGCCAGTACTGCTTGGGATACATGACATACAGGTCAGAGACATAAATCTGGGACAAGATACACTATAACTTGTGCTACAGTTCACCAATTTCTCCTCAGTCACCAGATGATTTCGAAGATCTGGCTGGAAAACCTTTCCAATGAAGTCATAAAGTTTACCTCAAACTCTCATTCACAAGCCACATTAACTGCTGTACAAACTGACCCTGCTCAAAGAAAGAAGGTTCAAGCAGAGGGAGCTTCATCTGACCAACACAGATCATCTCAGCAGCTGATTTAATTGCCTAGGCTCTTCTATAATCAATAAGGAGAAATAGGCTCTTCAAGGTGCAATTTGTCTTATCTTGAATTGTCTGTCTAGAACCAGCAAACCAAATCATGCTTCAAAATACTCCTTTACTTCATCATGGATTACAAAGACAGGCTACAGTAACTATCTAAGACAGAGATGTCTAAAAGTCTGGTGACATGAATCCTACCACTTAGTTTGCTAAAACCTTGGAGAGATATTTTCTTCAGAATTCACAAACAGCTGTTGAAGTTAATTTCTCAGCAAGACTTGTGCTGCTTAGGTTGGCTGCTCATTTTTCTTCCAGCATTTCTGTAACAGCAATGCCCATACACATGAAGATGTGAGAGAAACCAGTGTTGAAGCCGATGGTATCCTGAGGGTTTTCTTCCATTTATAGAACAGAACCAAGACTCATCCATACAGCAGATGCCTTACAACTTGCTGTCTAATACTAGTAGGCAAGTCTGATCTTAAGGGCTGCATAAAGGTTTACTTTAAGAAGAGAAAAGACACATCTCAATAGACTCAACATAAACCTTTGACTATGATATCTTAAAGTGGGTTTGAAACTGCTGTGTGCTTCAAATGGACATCCTGGACCAGATGAAAGGAAATAAAATCTTGTAGGAGACCCCAAAGAACTTTTCTGTAGTTACTCACTCTACACTCCCTTAAAGTATAGCACAACAGATATTTTTTTGCTATTTCAAAACTATGCATGTAAAAACCATTTAGGAAGAAACATACCTAGAAAACACTCACCAATTTTTGGAATTAGATTATTCTGAAGATAGAGAATTTTTAAATCTCGACACCACTTGTCAAGATACTCTAGTTTTTCTATTTCCTGCTGATGTAAAGAGATTTCTTCCAGTGAAAATATTTCACAGTCGTTATGCTCTGCACGTCTTCTAACAAGATCTTCAGTGACTGAAAGAAACATTAGATGTCATATTTCCCTTTAGTCATTTTCTGCCATCTGACTTATGAGCAACTTCTAAAATCATTAATATTTTTTGTTCCACCACACCAAATAGATATCTGGTAGGAACACCAACAAAAATAAAATCTGCTAGAAAAGACACCAAGTACCAAGTGTCTTCAGACCAGTCTGCCACAGTAAACATCATTTGTGAAACACACTCACGTCATCTGTAACATTTAGAAAGATCCATATGAAAACTGCTAATGCAAGTGTGATAACAACCCTTGCAGAAATTAATCCAGCATCCACTATTTTCAGCATAGCTTGGGCTGCAGATTGATTCACCTTGACAAAGCAATGGAGTGTTTTATGTTCTTTTATTTCCTGATGCCAGATGTTCACATCACAGATCAGGGCAGGGGGGGGAGTAAACTAGCTACAGCTTGTTATCATATTCTTCCACCAGCACAGTGTGCCCAGAAATAAGCAGGATACGTGTTGAAAGAGGGCAGATATTTTTTACCTTTTTTATGTTTGAAGCAAAGTCATAACCAATTCATGCTTATAAATGTTTATGCTACAATGAAATTTAATACTGGGTATTTCTTAGGGACTACAAGTTGAATAGCAGCCAGCATAGAGTTTCAGGAGCCAAAAAAACACCAGAGACCTGGGTTCAGAATTATCACATAGTAAAATTTAGTGCCATGCAATCTTTCAAACAGTGAAAAGGCTCTGTATGATGAAGGTAAAGAAATTCTATGACAAACAGTGCTACTCTTGAGCTGGATGTTATTACTTCATCTCCAGTCTATGACACAAAAAACAAGTGCTAGCATTTTCCTCACCTTGACAAGCAGTGACCTACAGTGAAGTACTGATTAAAAAACTAGGGGTTTATCAAGTTGGCATAGGTATTTTCATGATTGTTAATACTGAAAAAAAGGCTAACAAGCCTTTCAAAAGGACTCTGAAGTAAGTAAAAAGAAAAAATATAGAGATCTGTGAAAACAAACTGTTCCTACCATGAGTTAAAGTATTCTTCCATTGCTGTGAACTCATGCAGTTTTATTAGTGGTCCTGGAATGGTTGCACATATTCACACAGACTAGTTTGTTACAAGCTAGGTAAACTATGTACCAAACTAAATCCAAACTCACACATGTCAATGCACCTCCTGTATTTAGAGCCTTTGGGAAAGGGGTGAAACTGGTTTTGTATATATTACATTATTTACAGATGATCAGAGTTAAAATTCCCTTCTGTTCAACAGTTACCTCTATCTCTATGATACGATTTAGAGAATTGTATAATGGTGATATTGATATAAGAGGGGATCTTGTCTGTACATAAGGCATACTGGGAAAGGTGTCTTTTTCTTTTTTAATCATGTTGGGCAGGTTTGCTGCATCTGAACAACTGCTTTCCCTTAACAGCCCATTAATTAAACCTGATTCAATTAATGGAGAGACAATGAATGGCAATACTGTGACTAAATATTTTAGTCTTCACAGAAAATATTGAAACACTGGTATTAGTACTGAGCTACTTGGTAAATCTCCTAGAAATAAAAAAATAAGTAAAAAATAGACTAAAAAGCCTGCTTATTAACATGTTTGGTGGCTGATTTTTCAGTGCCAGTATTTCCAGTGCAAACAGTGGTTTTGAGCAAGAAAACAATATTCTCCAATCTGCATACATACACATTGGAGACATCATGCTCTGTACCCTTTATACAAAAAGAAGTCATACAAACTATTGCTGACAGTTTTATTACAGCCAGATTTCCCTTTGCCGATGAAAAGAAAATGGAAGTGATTGTTACAGTGATTATGCAAAAAACCGTCCACTTTCATTACCAGATGGTTTGCAAAGCAGAAACAATCATTCACAATAGAAGCTACAATAGAGCGTTAGAGACCTATTTTGGGGACCTGCTGTAGGAAACTGAGTGAATATTTGTCATTTTCTATACTATCTGGTTCATTTAAGAGGAACAAGGGAAACAAAGTTGCAAGAGAAAACAACAAATTTTAAATAAAAGCTTTTCCAAGACGTTGACAAAACACATAGTAACATTTCTTCCCGTTGAGAAGTTCATTAACCAGCTTATGTGTGCAGTAACAAGAGCATGGACCAGTGATAGGAGAGATCACAGCTACTCCCATGCTCCCACGAACACAGGAGGCAATGAGGGACGGCATCAATCAACTGGAGAGAACCGATCTTGAAGCTCTAACAGCTGGACTTCCAAAAAGTATTGTTTTACTCAAAAAGGAGCAGATACAAGAAAAGCATTCAATAAATGGAAACAATAAACAGGTAGACAGCTGCAGGTGTATCAAGAAACAGCAGGGGAACCTGCATTTCAGAGAAGTATGCACTTTTAAGGCTCAGATTCATGCCATGCTGTTGTGGAGATGAAGCCGTTCACCTTCAGGCACTGCCTGCTCCATCTGCCAGCTTCATGCAGAGAGAAGGAGTTCCTTTCCAAAGCACTATTTTACCCAGCAAGGGACTGGCTGTCCAATGACCATATACAATCTAAATAGATTACAGGGAAAATAGCAGAGGAATGGAATTCCTCAATGGCTTTTTTCTCCTGAGTGATATGCATGAGCACTCAGTCTTTTAGGTCATACTGCTTTAGCTCTAAAAGATTATGGATTCATAAGTAACGGTGTGGTGTATTTTAACACTACAGGGGTTTTTCATCTGCCTGCATTGGGTACTTTTACCTAAATAAAATAATCTGGGATTAGAAACGTGTAACTGCAAGGACAGGACAGCAGTGCCCAGGCATCAGCCACCCTGTGAAGCATGTCCCCACACACAGAGGTCTCCGCACTGAGGCCACCTCACTGCTGGGCTGTTTCAGAGGCAAGAGCACGCCTGGGCTGTGCTTGGTGAAATAAAACGGGTCGTTGTTACCAGGGAGAAGGGAAAACGTAAGGAAGGAAGGTGAGGAGAGCAAGAGAGGCCGTGGGAGAGAAGGGCTGCCGGGGGGGCATGGGGCTGTCAGGGAAGGAGGCAAGCGTGGGGTTAGGGAGCACGGCGGGTAGGGAGTGGGGCACGTCCAGGACAGGAGGGAAGGTCCCGTGAGGGGAGGAAAGCAGCTCCCGGCGACACTCACTCCGCACCATGGCCGCCCCTCTCAGCTCCCCGCCGCCGCCATTACAGGACGCCGCTTCGCTGCCATGGCGACGGGGCCGGGCGGGAGGCGCTGCTGTGGGGTCAGGCCCCGCAGCGGTGCGGCTCAGTCCGGTCTGTGCTTTGTGCCCGCTGAGGCACTGCTCCGCCTGCCCATGAGGTAAGACGGCTTTGCTATAGCGCTTTGACCGCTCCTGCCCCCGTGGGCACTCGTGTACGAAATGCCACCTCCTCACTTCGCTGTTTATGACTCAGGGCTCAACTATGCAGCAAGTCAGAAAGCAGAACTTCGAAGCAGGCATTAGTCCTAAACCGGTGGTCTAGAGCCCATGGGGCAAAGCTAGACGCTGAAGTAGAATAATCACACTGGCTTCTTGTACTTAAAACTGCAGGCGTTTCAGGGTGAGGTTTATAATCCATGACCTTGATTTTACTGGGACTAATGACATAGTGACATTGTTGTGCTAAAACCCTTGGATGCTCCAAATCCAAGACTGTTGCTGTAATAAAGCTGTGCTGTCTTGTTCCAAACTTCCGCTGTCCTCAATTCAAAGACTAAGGGTTCTGCCTGATTGTCTCGTTGCGCTTGAGACACGCCGAGTTCATGATCCCTGACACAGTTGCAGAAACAACATCCTTTTGAGCTTCATTTTTGCACATAGAAATTGAGATAAGCCCAGATGCAGGCTGCGTGGAGACCTCCTAGCAGCCTTCCAGTATCTGAATGGGGCTATAGGGATGCTGGGGAGGGACTCTTCATTAGGGACTGTAGTGATAGGACAAGGGGTAAGGGGTTAAAACTTAAACAGGGGAAGTTTAGATTGGATCTAAGGAAGAAGTTCTTTCCTGTGAGGGTGGTGAGGCACTGGAATAGGTTGGCCAGGGAGGTTGTGAATGCTCCATCCCTGGTGGTGTTCAAGGCCAGGCTGGACAGAGCCTTGGGTGATATGGTTTAGTGTGAGGTGTCCCTGGCCATGGCAGGGGGGTTGGAACTGGATGATCTTAAGGTCCTTTCCACTCCTAACTATTCTATGATTCTCTGATTCTATGTTTTTAGTTTCAGCAGCGTTTTGGATTTTACATAGTCAGAAGAATTTTCTGTGTAAAATGTGAAAGAATGGTAATTCGTAAACCCAGCACACACACACTTGCTTTCAGCATGAAGGCCTATGTGCCTTAAAAAGTTTTATGCCTCAAAATGTTTCATTGAACAAACTATTTGAAGCTGCACAACATTAACACAATAGACATGCACAAAACTTGGTGTAATTTGCACTCATGGTGTTGTACAACTTCTCAGGAAAATTTTGCATTCATTTATTTTCAACCTAATCACAAATTTTATATTTGCATACATTGACCTTATTGTGTTCATTATTTTCATGTATGAATAATACTCCTCAGTCACATTATGACTAAGAGTTTTAAGCAGCACAAGCTCAAGTTCTTAGCATGAAGCAATGTACATTACAGAGGTAATGTAAAGAGCCACATCACAGTCAGGAGGATGGAGTGACCAGGAAGAGAAAGGGTACCATCTGACATGCCCTCCCTGAAGGAATTCACTGCACCACTTTAATACGTTACAAGTTTATTTGTTAAATGTGTAAAACAATGCAATATAAAATATATTTGTCATGACAAAAATAAGCTTTATAGCATTATTATTACAGTGCATCAGAAGTACTTTGAGTATGTGCTCACTCCATCAGTACATACTCATGTAAGGTGCTAAAGACCCAGCAAATTGATATCTGAGGATAAACCTTAGCTGTTAAATCGCTTCAGGTCAGAGTCTTGGCTGGTGGAAATTAACTGACTAATACACACTCAGAATATGAACCTGTGTCTATCT